ATCTTCTTTTTTTTTTATTGCTTAGATGAGTGGACGAGCTCACAGCCCACCTGGTGTTAAGCGGTTACTGGAGCCCATGGACATCTACAACGTAAATGCGCCACCCACCTTGAGATTAAGTTCTAAGGTCTCAATTATAGTTACAACGGCTGCCCCATCATTCAAACCGAAACGCATTACTGCTTCACGGTAGAAATAGGCAGGGTGGTGGTACCTACCCGTGCGGACTCACAAGAGGTCCTACCACCAGTAATGGTACCTTAACCCTTCCTTCCCTTCTAACCCTTCTCTTGGCGGGATTCGAAGCCGCGACCCCCTAGTGTAGTGACCATGTCACTTACCACTACACCGGACGGACGTTAAATAGTACAAAGAGTGAGAGAGACAGAGACAGAGAAACACAACTTACGGTGCTTGAATCAGGAATCGATAGAGAAGATTGATTTCAATCGAATTAATACATTCACGTTGCGATTAATGTCTATGGGCTCCGATAATCACTTATCACAAGGTGAGCCGTGATCTCGTCAACACATCTACTCCAATCTTATACCTTTAAACGAGCAATTCTTTTATATTAATAAATATATAATCTGAATCTCGGAAACGGCTCCAACGATTTTCGTAAAATTTAGTATACAGGTGATTTCGGGGGCGATAAATCGATCTAGCTACGATTTATTTTGTGAAAATGTTGTTTTATTCGTGTTTTCAATAATCAACTCTTCCCGACATCTATTGGCGAATAATAATATTATTTTTCTTAATTGAGGGCAACTAACCGCTTTAAAGACACAACAAGATGGCGTTATCAAAAAAAAAAAAAAAAACGAGCAAAGTTCGGTCATCATCCAGTACATAAATAAATCGAGTGATTTCACACGCGGTTTCTCCCGCTCTTAATTGCATCGAAAACACAATAACAAAACACATCACGGCGTCGCTCCGGAGTCGACAAGGAATTTGCATTTTAATAAATACATATTTATATGTTAAAGGGTGGTAATGGTTCTCCCGATAACGGGGACGTTATAAATCATAACAGCGATCAACATTTGTTAATAACGCTGTGAATAGAAAGGGTTGCTAGGATAACCGGGGACGTACTCGGAAAAATAATTTACTAACCGAAACTTTATGTTATAAGAAATGCGTTCCTTCTTTCTAACAGCTATGATAGGCAGACCGCAGAGCATATGGGCATAACAAAAATGCTGATTGATGCTAGGGATAGTCTCAAATAGTTACTGCCCTTCGACTGAGGGAGCGCAATTGTTTCGCGTCAGATTTTAAAAGGATTACACTACTGACCCGGTCACCGTCCTCGCCGAACCCGTCGCTTGCGACGAAGGACTCGATGACTAAATTAACCCATAGACACAGCTCACTGAGTTTCTCGCCGGATCTTCTCAGTGGGTCGCATTTCCGATCCGGTGGTAGATTCTGCGAAATACTGCTCTTTCTAAGGCCAGTGTTAGCAACACTTCCAGTTTGAAGCTGAAATAGCCTCTCAAGGCTATCAGCATAGGTAGGAACAAAAACTACTGACTCGTGCGCCCCCTACGATACAGCCATCATGAAGTCAGAGTTACAATAGAGCCGGAGACCAACAAAAATGAAGCGATATATTTTCGCGGGGGGTCCCGACCACACCTACCGACTCTAAATACGAGCACGCACGCGACCCCGGTGTCAGATGTCGATTTCATGTAGTAATCGGGCTGCGAATGCACATGCGTTAAGATTTATTAGATTTCTATTCAAATTTTGTACTAATTATTATAATATTTATAATTCGGACGTCTGTCTGCTCTTATAAAACAGGGCATTTTATAATTAAAAATTTGATGTTTTTTTAGATGTTTTTTTTGGTAAGTTTAGTTTGTAAATATGTAGTTATCTCGGGGGACCGTTGAAATGTTTGTTTAGTGAATTTACCGATTTGAATTTGGTATCTATCACCTGACTATTTGGGTACATTCTCGGAATAGCGGATTTTCAGTAAGATAACTTACTGGTGGTAGGACGTCTTGTGAGTCCGCACGGTACCAACACCTCGCCTATTTCCGCCGTGAAGCAGTAACGCGTTTCGGTTTGAAGGTTGGGACAGCCGTTGTAACTATAATGAGACCTTAGAACTTATATCTCAAGGTGGATGGCGCATTTACGTTGTAGATGTCTATGGGCTCCAGTAACCACTTAACACCAGGTGGGCTGTTAGCTCGTCCACCCATCTAAGCAATTAAAAAAAACTATAGCAATAAGTTTGGTTTCTTTCTAACTGAATGCAATATACTTGACTGTGCTTAACGGCTCACATCCACCAATGTAGCTCCGTGCCATATCTCCGTAGAGATCAGCTAAAAGCAGCTACGTCTGTGGTACTTGATATAAATGCCGCAAAGTATTGACAAAGAACGCTTATTGATAGCGTCACGAATTCAAGACAAAAAATTATTGTAATAAAAAAAAATTTATTAAAAGAGCAATTTATCTATTTCGTTCGATTTACGTAAAGAAACTTAAAAATATCACAAAACGAACCCGATACGAATCAGATCAGAGTACCACAAGAGCTCATAAACACGAGAATAACTATAATGCGAAAAGAATTATTTCAAGACGTCGCTACCAGGCGAACATAAAGGCAAGAATGAGTTTTGATGAACTGGCAACAACCCTCCAGGCCTGCCTCCTCGGGGACCGTACCCCGGGATAAAAACGACCAAATTTTACGACGCTTTAAGAGGGGTAGTATCTGTTAAATCGCTTACTGTATTAATTTTACCGGATCCAAACGCCATTTTGATGTTTCTGCATCAATTATGAGGTTTCAAGACAACCTTTCAGGGATATATTAAAATTATTTAATTACAAGCTTTGCATATTTAATATTTCCTTTGTCCGCCTCGGAAAGATTTCGTATATTAATCTACTTAGATATTGCACAGAAGGGTAGACGAGCTTACGGCCTGTCTGGTTGTAAGTGGTTTCTTGTGCCCATAGATGTTCCAACGTTGATACGAGGACGAAATATCATTGTATTGTATCTATCTTAAGCGCGTAATTGTTTCTCGCCAAAAATAGACAAGATGGCTGCGCATAAATATTAATAATTAAGTATAATTCTGATATTGTTATGGAATAAATCAATGAATAATAAATAAAAGGCACATGTTATAAATAATAAACTGGCGTCACGGTCAAGAGGGAAGCGTCTTTTTGATGGATGCTAAAATGCAATGCTTAAAAAACATTTCTTAATACTTCAAGGCTGTGAGCTCGTCCATCAACCCAAGCAATAAAATAAATAAAAAAGTATTGCGTGAAATCTGAAGCGATTGATTGTTCATCAATATCTTAACGCGAATGAGCTTACTTTGTATTGACATTTGAGTCGTCTATTATCAAAGCCGGCAATCTGACTTTTGGACAATGATTGGTAAATCAGAAAAACGAATTATTGACTTTGTATTCCATTGGCAGTCACAAAACTCTTCGGAACGACATCTTAGATAAATAACAGGTTAACTATTAACCTTCATTTAATGCAGTTTTTGAACCGTATTCTTTGAAGGAGACTATTATATTCAAATCAATCTGAATTGACATATCAATAAAAAAAAATTATCCAAATGCACAGATTGCCACCTTTGATAATAGACGACTCATTTATGCTTCGTGAGGCTAAGCCGGATCGTACACAGACTTACTTATTTCACATACTTATATATATGTACTTACTTTTATACACTGATATACACTTACATATATTTATATATTTTGTGTAAAACGGCTATTGTTAAAGTCCTAAACTACTTTCTGTGTATTTCCAAAGTATTTCTTCTTCTTTTAACTGAATATGGCAATGGATTTCTAACGATGCCCGTGTTGCCAGGGTATGATATGGTAGCTTATGATATCTTCAATTTTTTAATAAAAGTACCAAGTTATAACCATCATAGTACCTACCTAAGAAATTTAAAACAAAAAGAACTAATACAGGAAAAGATGTATATTTCAATATAATTATATTGTTTGATCATACATAGATAATTCACATCGCTTTGAGTTTTTTTCTAAAAAAGTTTCACTGCCTACTATTTATTATATATATCGAGATAAACAAAAAAAAACTAATCAAATAACAAAGCAATCGGGCGTGTTGTCTGTCAGTTCGTACATAATTCACGTTGACAGTTAATTTTGGAAATGCATCGGTACCAGGACGGGAGCCGGCCGAGGAGATTACTTATTCAGAGGACGCGAAACATATTGCCCGGATAATTGTTGCGAAATTACGAAGTCATATACACGATCGTTACTCGCTGCCGGGTTATGATAGCCTGGTAACTCTTTTATAAATCAATTGCATTTTGTATCTATATATTTAATACGTGAAGCAAAAACTTTGTATCCCTTTTTACGAAAATTTCGCGGACGGAGTATGAAATTTCCCACACTTATAGAAAATATAGAGAAGGATTTCAAAATGCTAATTTTTTTTTCAGTTATCCTCACAAAATACATTAAATCAATAGGAAACATTACACACTACCATATATTTGACACACACACGCATATATACTCTTTTGTTTATCGTTAAAGTCTGTGGTCAAATTGAGAATAGATTAACATGGTTTGTCTTTATTATTATTTGTTTACAGTGTAGTCTGGGCCAAATCTGTGATTACAGAAATTTAAATGGCCTTTGACAATAGAACCATAATAATGTTCAAACTTGTGATTTGAATTAATTATGGTCGAATTTCGACTACTGAGGGACCACTAGTAATATTACTTAGACAATTGCTTTAAATACCTTTTTCACTACTACTACCGATCGCGGTTCCACATGCCAAAAAATTAAAAAAAAACGTATTCTATAATGGCTGCTTTTCTTTTTGGAAAGTTACCTTAAATTCTAGGTATATTTTATACTGATTACTGATTTAAGTTAATTCTAATTATGTTTATGTTTATGTTTCTTTGTTACAGGTTCATAAACGCGAGACGTAGGATAGTCCAACCAATGATCGACCAATCAAATAGAGCAGGTAACATTTTACTTTTTCCTGTAAACACATCGCTAATGGCAGTAAAGAGGACATTATAGCACCTACATAAAATAACATTTACGGCTTAATCTTGCATTTATTATTATCATTTTACGATATCCATGTCGTCAATGACTAAGCAAACTGTTCAGGTTTTGAATCGTAAAATAATTTTTAATTACTTTACGTTTCCCGAATACCGAGGACAACATAAAAAATAATAACATTCGCTGCACCAATAAGAGATTTTGGGTATACACTGGAAACGCATATATTGGGTTCACTAGTGCTCAAAGTTTACAATATGTTTAATTGCATCGACTGCTCACTCAGTTGGCGTCTATCAATGTCTGGCGAAAACTGAAAAAAATAATGAAGAAATAGGTTATTACAGACGGAAAGTAGAGCGACATTATCATATCTAAATATCGCTTAGAATAAAGTCCTCTAAATTTATTAAGTCAACTAGCGACCCGCAATCGCTTCGCTTCGGAAATATTAAAACACCCATGAAACCAAAAAAAAAAAAAATAATAATAATAAAAAAAGTAGCCTATGTTCATCAGGGACAATGTCGACTTCTAATGGAAAAAGAATTTTTCAAATCGGTCCAGTAGTTTCGGAGCCTATTCGAAACAAACAAACAAACAAATCTTTCCTCTTTATAATATTAGTATAGATAGAGATGTACTTCGTTTACAATTAACAAAATTATGTTCACCTAATTTTCGGTTAAATACAAAAATACTTTAACCAAAAAAAAAGTAGGTAGTTATAAATTAAAAAAATTACTACACACACATACCTACGCATTTGTTACGAATCCGTTTTGTAATTATAATCGAAAACGTCCACCAACGATCGATGTGAATACGCTGTATATTTCTTAATGAAAGGCTTATTTCAATCGCTCGCTTCGAAACTATGTTCAGGAGATGTACAATTCAATGAGTAATAGTTGGGTGGGGGAGTGAGTCCCATATGCCCAGAGAGGCACCACTCATCAGCAGAATAGGCATATTCAATCCCACCGGAACGTTAGCTTCACTTTTGAATGTAAGCATGGTGCAGTGCACACGAATCCTGATAGAACATCTTGCCGGTCAATTTACGAGTGTATTTAAATAAGCAAAGTGTGAGCAGTTAAATGATATTTCGATTCCGATTCCAAACCGATTTTCTTTTTTTTTCTTCTTAAGCATGTATCGTTTGTAAGCTTTGTTATAATGAACAAAAAAACATTACGTAACAGTAAGCAAACTAATCGAGTCTGCTTACTTAATAATGTCGATAACAAATACAGAAAATGTAAATACTTAAAATAAGTTTGGTCCTTAGCGCTTTAAAGCTTTAAAAATTATAGTGGAATGTCGATAATTCGAAACACTAATTTTAAAATCGGACTTATTTATTAAGAATTCATGTTGTATTTCATCATTATTAAAAACACGCACAGCCATCTCAATTCTAGTTACTAAGGTTAAAAAAAAAAACAAGAATTAAGATTGAAAAAAATCCAACCCACAATAACTTGGCATTAACAAAAAAGGAGTGAAAATAACAAGATAAATTAAGTTATTACTATAGTTAAAATTAGATCGGCACAACTCGGAGATTCCGAGCGCCTCCGTCTCCCACACGAACTCAACCTAGTAAGTAAAGTTGATTTTACCGGGACAGAGCCTAAACCAGGGATACGTGCCCCGTTTCTCTAAAACGTTCAATCAATAGTCCGCAAAGTGCAATAACGCCTTGTACCCACGTCCGACGCTCGCGACGTGAACTTTGAAGTCCAAAATTGAGTTTTCTGACCACAAGACTTCATACAGTATGCAGACTGCAACTCCCCGGAGGATCGCCGGCTTTTAGCTGACCAGTATACGCGGCCGGCCTGCCAAGTGCCGCCATCAAATATGGAAGGTTCAGCTGGAAATTTGCTTAGGGTTCGAGTTAAGTGAATGTCGGTTTAGACGATCTTCGTAATTCGATGACTTTGTAGAGATGGGTATTGTTTCTGCTTAGAATATTAACCGGTGTATCGTTTTTTTTTTTATATACTTTTAATACATAAATTATAGGACAATACTATGGTCCGGTCTGGGCTGGGTATCGGGCTACCTCAGACTTGTTCAAAAATCACTGCCAGGGTAAATATCGTGCCATAACACCGGTATTCACCCATTGTACTTTTTATCGGTGTTTGCAAGTCCCAGTCATTATTAAAAGAATTTTTACGGTTTAATACCGCCTTTTAAATGGTCATTATATTAGTGTGATCTGTCTGTAAACTGTCAAGTATTCTAAACGTCAGAAACAATATGACAATGACAATAAAAACGAAAAATTAAACCGTAAAAGTTGTTAAAAGTGTGTGTACTACCCGCAAAAACCATATAAAATACTATATTGCAAACTACGGCTTCAAGATAGCAAACAATGTTAAGCGCTAGTTGAAAGGTGACCACCATTAAGATAGTACAGATGAGACTTCCACTCCACGGCCCAAGGTAGGCGAAATTAACGCTACATACTGCCCCGTATCTTTATCAACAGATGGCCTGTCTATAGCAATAGAATGATGAGTGCTCTCGCGACAGTTAGTAATGCAACGTTTCCTCATACATTAATCAGAACAAACAAGAAGCCGGCTTGTTAGAGTCTGCTCCTACTGTTGTCCACAACAAAAAGCCCGCTGCGCTCCAACTTTTTTCCCGTCCCGTCGACAATATGGAATAGAATTACAAACGACCAATTCTATTTTTACTTTGTAATTGTAGCGCGGTCCATAAAACGCTCCGTCCACTCCCTCGTACGTACGGAGCCGACAAAAATTCCGAGCGCGGGGAAAAAAAGGACGTCACAGAAAAAGGGCTTACTCTTGCGAACCGGGAACGCAAGAAGGGTAAAAAAGAATAATGTCCGAATTCGTTGACCCGTCCCGAGCGATCCATCACTCGCCCCTCCGCCGGCTATCGCCGCTCTCCGGAGCCTTTATCTAGATGTGTGGATGTTTCTCCCTTTCCTATCCGGGATTAGATTTCTCGTCGAGAGAGCGAAAAAAAAAATAGAACCGTTTTAATTTCGCCGATGACGCAGAGAACTGAATTTAATCCGCGCGGAAAGCTCCATAAACGACGTCGGAGCGTTCGAACGATACGTAATTTACAGTCTGGCTCGATAATGGCGTCGCATCAGAGGGCAATTTATGCCCTTATAATAAATTCATTAGCCGGTGGCGTGGCCGCGTTATGGCTGGCCGTGTCGGACTACTGACGCAGCGGCCACTCCCGGTGAAGTGTTAATACCCCTCCATCGGCTGCGGGAACAAAAAATCCAGACTGACCAATCGTCATCTACTTGGCCAATGATAGAGCGGGTACATAAATAGCGAACGAGTGTCATTACTCGACTTCCAGGAGGGATGGCTTCGTACTTTGCACAGGCTTGATGGAGAGGCCTAAGGTAGAGCATAATTGTAAAAACTATTATGGATAATCATTACGAAGAAACTAACCTCTAAAGTAGTCCCAAATTCAAGTGATATCCTAAAGTTAAAGGCCAACAAAAAACATGATAGAACGTCATCAAAATTATACCGTTTGTGTGATTTTGTTATAAATTGCTTTAGAGGTGGCGCCAGTCCTGAGAAAATTTTGTTCAAGTCATATTTTGTAGACTTTTTTTATTTCAAAATATTATTTGATTTTTACAAAAAAAAAAAACATAGTTCCGTTATAAATGAATTGAGGACAAGAATTGTTCGCGGAACAAAAGATCGATGTTATCACATTAGCTTCTTGTCGCAACAAAACGTTATAACTGTATTATTAATTTTAAATAAACGACTATTATTTTAATTCATAGTGTTGCGAGACGAAGCAATCGGCGACAGAAAATACGTTTTTTTTTTATATATATACCTACAATATTTTTGAAATGCGATTTATTTTAAGCGCGGAATCTCGTTTGGACGGATGCCACACTGAGCAACGCAAGTGAATTTTGGCAAAATAACACTTACGCTAATTCTTTTAGTGGTCACGTGCCGGCGACGCTTATACGCGGTTATTAATGAGCCGCTTTTAACGGTGACACGGTTGTTTATGCGCCGTGTGATTGCGTTCATCAAATATTTAAAAAAGAAATAATTCGTTTCATTAACGATTTCGTGGATCATCGTCGTGATATTTTGAGAGCCAGTTTCAGACTTTTGTTTCTAAAATCTTATCTCATTTATTGGGTACATTTATGACAAACTAGCTGACCCGGCAGACTGCGTAGTGCCTCAATCGATAATTAAAAGACCCAAACTTTTGTATAAAATAAACTTTAAAAAAGCAAAAGGAATCCATCCGACGGGGGACACATCAAAGGAAAAACAAAATTCAAGATCAAAATTAGCCAAATCGGTCCAGTCGTTCTCGAGTTTTAGCGAGACTAACGAACAGAAATTCACTTATATATATATATATATGATGACAAATTACAACAACAATGGTGTGCATTCGAGGAGACCTACACTCAGCATTGGGTGGACACGGGTTGAAGAAGGAGACAACAACAAAAAATCTGCATTAGTTATCAAACTAATCGAGTTAAAAATCTTTATCTGAAGGAATCTCATTTGATCATGAGATATTAACACTAAACAAGATATAAACGAATATGCACCCAAATCAACTCCAGCGAGGAGGAAGATTGTCCTGAAATTCCACAAAAAAAAAAAAAAAATTCTAGAATTTCTAAAGCCACAAAACTGTTTCGAACGCCTGCATGCAAAAACAAAAAAACTCAAACAACGTAAAGAATACGAAAGCAGTTGACAAACAACGATTCCGCACCCCTGCGTTGACCGCGGAAACGCGACGGCCATCTTTACTCTATTGCCAAAACAATTTTCCATGTATCGCGGTGCCGGGCTTCCCATTTTCCGTCGCCGGCCGAACTTGGACGGTGACCGTTCCGGTCAGATTTAGATTACATTTTGCTTCACGTGCATATGTACATGGTGAAAGTTAAATTTAAATTTTAGGATAAATAAGTCTTATGCTTACTCGTGAACGATGTTATGCCGAATGTAAGCAGCAACAAATATAAAAATATGTTCCATTTAACCCTGTAGTGTGTAAACATGCAAGTATGTATACAGCCTTATTTAAAGTGCTTCTTCAGCACTACTGTCTCTGTCTTGTAACTAAATACACGTTTTACCCAATAAACCGGACCTTCAAACTGAATGGACGTATTATTTACACTCGTCTAATCCATCGTGACCAGACCACACCACATGGCGACCCTGCCATGATAGCTACTCTATGGCTACATGGACTTTCTACGATATTTCTCAATCTTCAAGACAGTAAGACAGTAGTGCTGAAGAAGCACTTTAAATAAGGCTGTATACATACTTGAGTACTTAGACACTACCTTATCCCTATTTACGATATATTCCGTCTAATCCATCGTAACCTGACCACACCACAACTCTATATCATCGCGTTGAACACTTAGAGCTCTAAAAATTAAAGTAGCTATAAAAAAATATATGTTTTCTTTCAAAATTGAGACATCAGTATTAAGACGGCTCTCACAAATCATAGTGCCCTGGTGGTTCGGCCCCCGGGGAGCCCGTTATTGCTTCCTGCTGCCCTGGTAGGAGACACGCCTCAATACACACTGCAACATCATCGAGATTGCAAAAAAATAGGGTGTCTCGTACGTCCGAGCGGCTCGAGTAGTCCGTTTCCAACAGAAATAATGGAACGAGCAAATCCCTCAACCAATTATTAAATCGATTTCAAATTATTCGCGTAGAAAACAACAAAAAAATAACAAAACGCAACTCGAATTAATTTCGTATAAAGAAAAGATACTTAGGTACATTTTAAAAAGCTCCGACACATTGTATGTGTATTGCATTAATAAATTTTAATAATATCACGAAATGTATTATAAGAATGTCGGATATTAAAAAAAATAATTTAGTTCAACGCAAAATCAAAGAACTCAATACAATGTTGGTTTTTTTTTTTTTTTAAATCATAAACAACATCTTTATGACTTCTTTAGTTTTTTAAATTTTGTGCCAGAAATTTCAGAATTGAAACGTTTCAAACTCATTCGATTTTGGCATGTCGTAGATATGTACATCTATACTAATATATAAATCTACAGTGATTTTTACGGATGTTCCGTTATAACTACTGAACCGTGCATCCGATTGACTTGAAACTTGGTATCCATGTAGAAAATACACGTACTTAATGGATAGGCTAATTGGATTACTTAATGGATAGGGTAATTGTTGGATTCCCTAATAATACTGACAATAAATAATAATGTAAATTTTAATTGCCCAGCGAAGCGCGCGAGTACGGCTAGTAAATCTATATATTAATACGTGAAGCAAAAACTTTGTATCCCTTTTTACGAAAATTGCGCGGACGGAGGAGTATGAAATTTTCCACACTTATAGAGAATATAGAGAAGAAGTGCACAATGCTAATATTTTTTAAAAATAATGCATATAAGATACATTAAATCAATAAAGAAAACATTACACACACACGCATACTATTTATTGTCAAACTTTTGTTCTTGACGTCTGTTGTCAAATTGAGAATAGATTAAATATTATTTGTCTTTGTTAATATTTTTTATAGAGTAGCCTTGGCGAAATTTGTGCTTATAGAAGTATAAAATACAATCATAATAGTGTACAAACTTACAATTCCAATTAATTATAGTCGAATTTCGACTACTGCGGGACCTCTAGTCTATATAATTAAAGTAAGCAAAGTATTCGAATTATAAATGCAAGATTAAACCGTAGTATTATTATGTTTAATTATATCAAAGTCAGTAGTAGAATGTGATATTAATAGCAATGAGGGTAGTTCATTAATATTCTTTGTTTTTATGTTACTTATAGTCACAACGCGATTGTCTCCACCCATTGTCGTGTCGTCAAAGTCACACTATTGAGACCGTATCGCATTAGAACAATAAATCCTATATATTTTAGTCACTGGTGGTAGGACGACTTGTGAGTCCGCTTGGGTAGGTACCACCACCCTGCCTATTTCTGCCGTGAAGCAGTAATGCGTTTCGGTTTAAAGGGTGGGGGGCAGTCGTACTGTAGAAACTGAGACTTAGAGCTCAAATCTCAAGGTGGGTGGTGGTTATAGATGTCTATGAGCTCCGATAACCACTTAATACCAGGTGGGCCGTGAGCTCGTCTACGCAACGAAGCAATAAAAAAAGTTAAACGATGTTCTCCCTATATCATAGGTAGCATTTATGAAAACACGTTACAAGTGGGCGTTTATTTAGAAGTGTTGGTATCTGACCGAGGGCACTTTAGGTTTCTCTGTACTAGTCCATTTTCATTTATATATATCTCAGTAAAATAATCCTATATGTCCATCGTATGAGTCACTTAAAAACACAATAAACAAACAACAACTGAACCTCATTTTTGAAGGAAGATATAAACAACATTATTATGTTACAAGCAACAAAAGCATAACTTATACATTAAGCACTAAATGTAATAAAAAACAACTTTCAAAACGTAAATATTGAAAATCAATGTAACTGATAAATCAAATAAAAATATATGCAAACTATTCAAAGAGGCCACAATAGGACAAATCGGAAAAGCAAAGAAAATCCAACAATTTCACCACAAAACTGTTATGGCTTCCGAACGCAATATTTCCCATGGATTATCAATCGTAAAGTAATGGTGTTCGTCCATTATAGACGCCGATTTCCGCTTTCCTCATGGGGTCTTTATAGTGGCACGCGCCATTGCGCCCTGAGAGCTATGGGACAAACACTGGTTACAAAGTTAATGCTTCGAAACTCTTTTTTAGGCTTTAGCCTGTTTACGATTATGGCAACACCGTATTGGAATTTTATTGGTAGTGCCAGCTGCCAAAATGATGTTTAGGTATTGAACATTGTATCATTGATTCAGTCAGATTTGGTCAGTTTAAAACTGTTGTAATACGCTAAAAGATGCTGTAAAATTTTCTTAGTCTCTGATATTTGGATTATCAATTATGTAACTATTTATAAAGTATTGTAGACTTGTTCCTAGAATTGCCTCGTTTAATTATAATAATTGAGGTATTTTCCACGATTTAACCCACAGATATAGAATGAATGCGTGAAGATATATAATAAAACAGTCTTAATACAATAAAGTTGACATCAAATTTCAGAGTGGTAACCAATTACCATAGTGGGATTCGTTCTAATAGAATATTGAAAGCTGAATATCTAACTATATACTAATATTATAAAGAGGAAAGATTTGTTTGTTTGTTTGTATTGAATAGGCTCCGAAACTACTGAACCGATTTGAAAAAATCTTTCATTGTTTGGAAGCTACACTATTCCCGAGTGACATAACCTTTTTTGAAAAAAATTAGGGATCCTTACTAAAACTCCAATAATGTAACTCAAGGTGTAAAAAACATACCTAAAATATTCTTTACATCGCGTGCCCTGCGAAAACTATTGATGATAGAATAAAATAATGTACTACGACTTTGTAGAACACATTATTATTTACAAAAAGTGTTGCGACAGCACATGTCTAACTATTGTAGTTATGCCGCAATAAGTGTTATTTTATATAAAAAATAAAACAACGTCAAATATCGTTGAAAGTTTTGTTAAAGACCCGAGCGGAGCCGGAGCCGGCCGCTAGTAGTGAATATCTATATATTAATACGTGAAGCAAAAACTTTGTATCCCTTTTTACGAAAATTGCGCGGACGGAGGAGTATGAAATTTTCCACACTTATAGAGAGAATATGGAGAAGAAGTGCACAACGCTAATTTTTGTTTTAAATAATGCGTAAAAGATACATTAAATCAATAAAGAAAACATTACACACACTACATACCATGTATTTGACGCACACACCCATGCATACTATTTATTGTCAAACTTTTGTTCTTGACGTCTGTTGTCAAATTGAGAATACATTAAATATTGTTTGTCTTTGTTAATATTTTTTATAGTGTAGTCTTGGCGAAATTTGTGATTATAGAAGTATAAAATACAATCATAATAGTGTACAAACTTACAATTCCAATTAATTATAGTCGAATTTCGACTACTGCGAGACCTCTAGTAGTTGATAGTTCTGTGAGCTCCTATGAATTGACTTGGGCTGCAAATTGCAGTTAATAAAATCGTTTTAATTAACAATACAGTGTTCTACCCGTCAGTGTTCCCGCACGCCGGTCCCAGCGGCGCGTACAGCCCCGAGGCGACCATGGGCTACATGATGGACGGGCAGCAGATGATGCACAGGCCGCCCACAGACCCCGCCTTCCACCAGGGCTACGCGCACTACCCGGCCGAGTATTACGGACACCACCTCTAATGCACCGAGCATCTTTGTACATGTGAGTGTGTTTTATCATTATATTTTTGTTTGTCTCTGTTTGCGGAGAATATTGCATCAAGAACCACCGACCACGGGGCAGTCCAGAAACTGATAGTAGATATCTTCTATGAGCCTCTATCAGCCTGAGAGTTTTTTACGTTCTCGATAGCGTAAAAGTTAACTCAAATTGTTGGAGTTGGCATGGAGTTGGCGCGTTTGCCTAGGTTTGCCGCTAGGGGCGCTGTTCCAACTGCATTCAAATCTGAGTTAACTTTTACTGGAGGGAATCAGTTCGGGCAAGAAATCTTTAGAACGGTATAATCAAAGACCGTGAAGTTTCTTCTTTCGAATAATAAACATTTTGTTTCATCATCACCATTCATTTACAGATATGAATACAAGTCACACCCTCCGACTCCCGGTGGTGACGAGGGTCGTGAGCATCCAGCACACGATACAGAGAGGCCGCGCGCGACACCGACGCGGCAACAACGCGACGGCGACACGCCACACTTACAGGAGAACTATGCTAAAATATGTAAATAAATAAATAAATAAAGGATAACGTAAACGCGAAACATTTTGTAATATTTGAAACAGTATACGATCTCCTAAATTAAGATAAAAGTCAACTGTAATATTAAAAATTAACGAGAGAAAAAAAAAACATCTTTGTAAATGTAAACTTGAAGTGACATGGACGCTGATTGGTGCGGCACACCTCGGGAGGTTTCACCATCGCGGGAACTGCGAGGAGTCGACGTCTGTAACAATAATGTGGTTTCATAGTTATCTTATAAATATTTATAGCTAAATGTGTATTGTTATTACGTAAATATAAATAAATAATTGATTAGTTGTAAGTTGTAATTATCACTTGAAGCAATCGGTTTGATGTCGGCGGGAAGGTGTACGACGCGTTTTCTGTTCTGTAAACGAATCGTGTAACTAATTATGATTTCTTTCGAAAACCATGTCCGTGACGAGCGCCGATACGTGCCCATCAAGGCGGCTAAGTTTGCAGGTCAATCGATCGTCAGTCCCGACTGACGACTTCGTTCCGTTTTGATGAGCACGTCTCGTCGTATAGTATAAACGTTACATGTCTCCAGAGTGTTGCATCTTTATCTAATCATTTATTAATAAATTGTCAAGCTCAAATCGTACTTCTAGAGGAATGTCAATTTATTATCCACATTTCTTATGACACAGTTTTTATTCGTTTTCCCACACATAAAATACATATCTTTGAATTTTATATATTTATTGTATATGTAAAAAAATAATATTATATATGTGGAAAATACCATTGATTTTTCACGTTTTGCCTTTATGTACTATACTATAGCACAATTGTAACCAATGTATACGAACACAAAATGTATTTTACAATGTTATTGAAAGATTTTTAGGTATATTTTTCGTCTTAAAGATTATACCGTTGTAACAGCCTTCTGTGTTACCAAGAGATTAATAAAGTACAGATTAAAAATATCGTATATCAAAAGTGCCGTGTCTGTGTCAGTTCGTAAGTCTGGAGCAATTCTAAAATAAGTGTTATGTAACAGTGAAACATGATGGAAAAAAAAAAAACAATATTTTTAGTCTGGATTTTTTAACAAATCGTGTGGTAGGTCACGACTGACAATTTTAGCAGTTTCGTTCTAGATTTTTCCAGTTCCGTGGTAAATAATTTTACTTTAGAAAAATCTAAAAGTCGTCAACATATCTGTATGTTGCTATCTACGTTAAATGTTATTTCTTTAAGTCATTAAAATATGGAAACTGGCGAGTATTAATACTTTAAATTACCACGGAACAATCATCATGTGAATGTCGATCAACTGATAGAGCCTGTGAACTTTAATAACATACGAATTCCCCATTTTTTCCCGTAAAGTAAGAAAAGGAAAGCTTTTGTACAATTTGTGAACGGATCGATATTCCCATTATGAGCTTTTGGTAATAAATTTTATAAATAAATTAAAAGTAATGCACCGCATTACGGCCTTATGCTATGTATACGAGGAGGAAAGCTATTAAAATATGAGAATTGACCGCGGCTAACGACAAAAAGCGGTTTTTATAGGCAAATAAAATAATCCAAACAAGCTTTATTATATGGTAGGGTAAATGACGAAATATCTTGTGTTGATTCATCATTATTGTGACACGCTTGTTTCCTAATAGATAGGTATCTTGCTGTTAACGAAAAATTGACTTTGAAGCCTCAAAATTATTTTGAAACGAACCATAAAAATAAGATAGATACAAAAATATTATAAACAAATAACATTCGATCGTTTCGCTATTTTGTATAAAAGCGTTTAATGAGTTAATTAGATTTTATATCGATAAACTAAAATGACTATCTCGTGTGCTTTCATTTCAATTGCTTGTCCGTTGATTAGTAAGGCGTATTGTGTGCCTGTGTGGACGGGTGCCTGAGGTGGGCCTATTTCTGCCACGAAGCAGTCATATGTTCAGGTTTTAATGCCCGAATTATTCGTTGTATACAATTACTCGACCCTGTCGTAAGGCGGCTGAAGGTTGTAATGTCTACAGGCTACTATGATCTATGAATGCTTGCTCGTCTACCTACAATCAGTACAAACACAAGAGTGTGCGCAAAAATTTCAAATTCAGAACCTACCACTAAAAGACAATATTTTTTTTCTAAAGCCTTTATAAATAACTCGTATTTACTTTTAAATAAACACATAGTAGATTATTTAATTTTCCCTCTTTTAAAATTTTTTAATTTTTTGAGATCTTTAGTAAACTATCTATTTAGAAACATTTGTGTCACAATTAAAAACTACTGGTACGTGCATACATCATTTTGATTCCTTTGTACTTTGTAAATACATCGTGTCATTGGCCCTTGAGTTTGACGTTTGACATTAATAATCTTTGACACCTCATCATATCTTCTGTTGTCTAGTCTAGCTAAATTCATCGTCTTTGCGACGACTACATTTTGTCGTCGTATATTGCACACGCACATTAAAGTTTTATATCTAAAGGTTTCCTCTACAATTCTACGTTCAGGGGCCAAAAAAACAATTCCATCGTATTTTTTTTAATCATTCTATTTTCGATTTAATCTCAGTATTAACATACGTTTTCCTTTCGCAACACCAGATTTTGTTGTAACTTCACTATTAGAACGTGTTATCGGGCGCCATCTTGAACGCGCGACTGTCGAATACGTCAATTTGACAGATGACGTTTTATTAAACTGTCATCGAACATTAAAACTGACAGACGTGTGTTGAACATAGCGCTAGAACGCGTTATTATTATTGTTAACTGTAATTGCGTGTAATATATTTTTTATTAAGAGGAAAATCTTAAATAGTAGTTATTAAGTATTAATCGATTAGTTGAAGGAAATGTTTTTTATTTCGATTTTTCTCTTCATTATATATTATGTATGTACATTATAATTTTGAGTCAAGTTATTGTAAATATAGTTACTAAATTGTAAACATCTTGGGTCGGTCAGCGTTCAAACGTCTTAATTATATTTTGTATTGCTTTCCAATACATACGTACAGAATGAGTGGACCGTTTTATGCAAGATCGCGCGCTGACGTGACGGACGGAAAAACTGACGAAAATGTGTCGGCATTATGAATGCTACGAATTGTGTAAAAAATATTAAAACATAAAAAAAAAATTGGGTTGTTTCATTTATGGATTATCTTGTCCTTTTGGGTAGACTTACAACCCAGTATCGTTCTAAAATAAACATGACTTAAATTAGATTTTATTATACTTTACACATTATATTTTAAAGACCAAAAAATCATACTCAAAGACAATTTTCACGGTATTTCTTACCTATTTAACATAAATTAATTATGACTATTTTATCGACAGTTTGAACATTTACAAAAAAATTATGACGGATCTTTATACTGAAAACAATTTTAATTATATAATAGTAAAAAACAAAAAGTGATTCACAAAACCAGAAATAAACTTTAGGAGAAAAAAAAACTAATTAGTTAGATACAACAATCGGTTGCTACGAAATGCTGCGTAGAGCCCGTAGCGGCGTAGCGGCGTAGCGGGCGGGGCACGAAAATGGCGGCCGACAGTGAGTAATGGCGCTTCGGGACGAGGCCAGTGACGCGTGCCTCAGGGTTGACTGTTTATTTTTATATTGGATCTATACCTTGAACTTATTGACCTATAAAAAAAATGCTTTATTTTTCATCTATATTCTAATATTTCCAAGTTTCATTACCTATCAGTGTAACTATCAGCATTACAATTCTTACAAAATCCGTAGCTTTTTCTTTATACACCGCGAAACATTGTTTGATGCCCTAAAATTAAATTAAAATACTCATAACACGTTATTAATACAAAAAAATTTATTAAACCTCTTAATAACAAAAATAAACAAATCAAAAACTAATTTTAAAATTCAAGATAACATTGCGTTGGTGTTAAGCAAAATGACCGGGATTTATTTCAAGGCATTTGTCTACTAGTCGCATATTTAGCAAAAAAGATTCACGATATATGTACATTAAAATGAATGAGTCCAGTATCAGCAACGTTAAACGAAAAAACAATATCTGAGTCAACAAACTGCCAACCCTAGGTTTTTTCCTGAAACGTAGCAAGCACAGTAAGCAACGCAGCGATTGTATCGGTCGCGGATGCTCACAGCGGCCCATTTGTCAACCTTAGCTCCCCTCCCCCGCGCACAGCCTTGCCTCCACACCCCCGCTGCACCCCCACAAAGGAACTTGAGACTTAGAAGTATCAAAGCTACATATAGCTACGTCACAATGTTGAAGGAAAACTGAAAAAAAATGCTGAATGTTCTAGGATCGCTTTTCCTTTGTGGTCCGTAGAAATGTGCTCCTCATTTCGTACACAATTCCCGAAACATTTTAGTATGTGGAAACAAACAAACATCAGCTAACCCACAGTGAACTCAATTCATCACTGACCGCATCCAAATTGTGGACATTATTGTTCAACAACACACAACGCAACGCGACGCCCTACGATTTTATGATTAACAAAATAATTAGTAAAGTCGAATATAAAACTAATCTCGGCTATGCGTAAATCAGTAAGATTAAATCTCTTTCAAATTGCCAAAGTTAAAGACGCAAAACAAATAAAGCAGTTACTTAGTCGTTCATGAGATCACAAAAACTGTAAAATATTCGAAAACTGAGTAATAATCTAATTCGGTGGGTGGCGCATTTACGTTGTGGATGTCTATGGACTCCAGTAACCATTTAACACCAGGTGGACTGTGAGCTCTAGCACCAATCTAAGCAATAAAAAAAATTTAAAAAATGTCAATAAAAAAAAAACGATATTTTAAACAGTAAATGCAATTTCTAATTTGTATTTTTATACTTAAGTACTTAGATCAACACTTGCAGCGGTTTGGCTGCGCTTCTGACATTGCTGATGTCCACGAGCGATTGGGACAATTCATCATCACGTGGTCTTTATACTTGTCTTAAACTTGTCTGCCTACAAAAGCCATAAAGTAATAAAAACAAACAAATGCTATGAAATCTTCATGACTATATATATCTATAATATACAAGTATTAAAAATTAAGCACCAGGATTACATAATTGAATTCGAGTTTTATTTTTTATATCAACACTCACACCAAGAGATTCAAATGAAATAAGAATGCAGCTCACGCAGTTTTAACGCTCGCGCAATTACTTAGGTTTCAACTGTAAAGGTATTGGGCAAATTAATATTGAAGAGAATTATTGAGAATTAGGTACTCTATTATTACAGGAGAGGTCCACCACAAAACTGAGCTTTGCTCATGGCGTGGTGATTTTTACAACCTACCAAGGCTTTATTAAGGCTCAGCTGTAGCTCTATCAGCAACTAGTACCCTATTGTTCTTATGTTTCAGAATCATACAGGACAGTGTAGTTCTAGGGTCTTGCTTCAACTGCCTTCGACGTCAACATTGAACCTCTGTCTCGCTAAAGATATATTTAAGCAATATATATATTCAAAAGTAATTAAACTAACTAAATATTAAACAGAAATAAACAACTAGATCCATTTAAACTAACTAATCCGGATCAGAGTACCAGGTCGGCAGACTCGCGGGGAGGTGTATCGCAATTTTCATTAAGGGCTAATTTAAGAGCGACCGGTCGCACGCGACATGTTTATTAGTTAATTAAAGTTTTACGCGGAAACAACAGGTACCAGGGAGACATAATAAAGATGGAGATGCTAATTACATAGTGGAGCTATGTTTACTGTTTGATTTTGCATCCACATTACGTTTTTTATTCAGCCTGTTGCAACAACTTATTGTCACGAAGGGATCCATTGTTAGACGGTAAATGCTCGACAATTTGACTTTAATCTTTGTTAATTTACTTTTTTTTATATTGCTTAGATTGGTGGACGAGCTCACAGCCCACCTGGTGTTAAGTGGTTACTGAAGCCCATAGATATAACGTAAACGCGCCACCCACCTTGAGACATAAGTTCTAAGGTCTCAGTATAGTTACAACGGCTGCCCCACCCTTCAAACCGAAACGCATTACTGCTTCACGGCAGAATTAAAATATTAGTTTACGTTTATTTCGTGCATATTTTTTGTATTAAACCTTTTAGTATCGTGAAGTGATCATACTTAAAAATATAATTAGTAAATGATCCCTTCATAAATACCAAGGCACATACCAAATTTTCTTCTAATGTATTCACAAACTTATCATATTTGATGTCATCAACTACCGTTACTAAAGACAGAGAGCTTTGTTCACCCGAATGTACTCGCAATAAAATCCTACAAACACCTACAAGTTCACTGTGAAAGCGAGAACAAATTTCGATGTAGACTTTAATACAGGCTATAACATTTAGAATAAAATAAATTATTGAAGTGAAAACTTCTTTAGAATCGTTGTGATTTCAAACCGGATGCAACGGAAAAAACGACAGGTAAGAGACACAAATACGAAAATGTGTAGGATGAAGCCAGCAAAGAATGAGACTTTTTTTTTTTTTTTTCCTACCTAAGCTGATAGCCCTAGCGGCTATGTCAGCGTAACCCTAACTTTAGTAGGTGAGCTCACGGGGCTCAAACCTGACGATGTTGCTAACACGAACCCTAGCAAGAGCCGTGCTTCGCAGAATCTACCACCGGATCGGAAACGCGACCCACTGAGAAGATCCGGCGAGAAACTCAGTGGGCTGTGTCTGGGAGTTAATTTACTCGTCGAGAGACAGAAATATACATA